CTTCCCTACTGGAAGATTCCTACCCAAAGGTCCTAGAGATCCCCTCCCAGGTAATGCAGACACATCTAATCCTTCTTCTTGAAATAGAGCCCTATGGGATTTTAACATGGAGGTTATGCCCTTCTAAATCTACTTTTTCTGGGCAAATAACCTCAGTTCCAGCTAGGTCCCTCATGACATCTAGTCTCTAATCCTGAGTCGTGAGACATCATGATCAGACATTAACGAACGTCTAGTGAGACCCTCCTTCAGAAATCGGCCCTTAACTCGAACATAACCTCTGAAGGGGTAGCTGAGCAGTAAAGGGCTTGAAAGGTGGGTCTCTTGCTCCTGACCCCACTCCTGGCGGCTCTGTGCTGAGACACAGGCTGTGGATTCCTGCTGGCCTGAATCCAGGGGATGCTTGGGCCAGCTCCCCGCTCATCAACAGTGGCTTCTTGGCTTTTTGGCTAGATCAAGAGTAGTTAACTGTGGCTTTCTGGGTGCCACATTGAGAAAAATCAGGAATTTCAATCTGAGTCTGTGAGGGGAAGATGAGCCCCATCTGGCATGGGAGCAGTTTATCGACTGGTACCCACTACAGGTCTTTCCCCTACAGGTCCTTTTTTGGCTATGGTCACCTCATTGTTAGGATCTTATCAGTCATCTAGAAAGTCGACTAGTCCAGCTGGGTGCGTTGGCATCTAATACATACCTTGTCACTATATTCACTTACATAAATTGAGGGGAAATGTTGAGGTCAAGTTGTCTGGGGAAAAAGCCCTAAACCTTGGTCAGAAGCCCAACTCCCCTCTTGGACTCTCCGAGAGCAGCCTCTTCCTGGAAGGACAAGAGGTAAGCCGAACCTTCAGCCCCGCTGAGTGGTTCCCCGGCCCGTAAGCCAGGCCCCAGGTGAGTACACTGATAGATTCATGCTGATCCTGCCCCACCAAAGCCCTGGAAAGGCCAGTTCCCCAGCACAGGCATGTCCTGTTAACAGAAAGCACTCATCTGGAAATGAGGATAATAATATCTACTTTTCAGGGTTGTTAAGAGGATCAACTGCTGTGGCATATGTGAGTGCTGAGCTCCATCGCTGGCACAGAGGGTGCTTGATAAATGAGCACTACTGTACTGCATTACTGCTAGCTAATTTTGCCAAGACAGCGCAGGGCAGTGCCTGGGTCTCTGCAGAAGGCATTTCTAGCAGAAAAGGCTGAGTTCTGTTAGTAGTGACTGTGGAGCCAGACAGGGCCAAAGGCAGCGGGTACGCAAACAGAGGAAGACCTCAATAAACCCCCTAAACTTCTCCCCAGACATTCACTGCCAAGGCCTGTGGCAGAGGCAACAAGAGGCCACCTCGGGGCAGGGCCCTGCAAGCTTGGTCTGAGGCCCAGGCCAGATGGGACTGAGGCGAGGAGCAGAACCCGGGCCCATGTGCCCAGCAAGCTGTGCCAGCCCAGCCCATGCCACCCCAGCCAAATTTGAGTTATATCAGGAGAAGGGATCTGTTCAGAACTCACCCATCCCTGCATATTTGCATTTCTATTTTGGGGTCTCTTCCTTTTTTTCCCCCCGAGCTTCCTAGAAAAGTTCTCATCATCAATTCCAACTTCACCTCTGCTGAACTGCAAAAGCTCACTCTCAATTCCGTCTCCCCTCCGCTACCAACACCTCTTTCCAGCAACCCTCTCCCTCATCAGCAAGGCTCTCCAGAGTTCTCTGCCCTCCCTGCCTCCACTGTCCCCCATCTATTCAGGCCTCACCCCCTGCAATTGGGCTCTGGTTCCAAAGCAGCATCCCCCCAAGGTCACCATGGCTGAAGCTGGGAAGTACAAGGTCACTGTTCCTGGGCTTCTCTGTGGCGTAACGCACTGCTGGCCATGTCCGCTTTGTCCAGTTTCTTCCACTCCGTCAGCGTTGATGACTCCTGCTCTGGCCTTCCCGGAAGCAGTCGGCCCCACCCCTTCCGTGTTCCATACCCATCAGTCATCATTTCCTATAAAGTCTAAGTTCTCAGTGGGTGTCCCCTTTCCTCTACCATTCCCTAAAAAGCTGAATTTCCTTCTCACATGACATAGGCCCAATCCTCAACTTAAAACTTCCTGATCATCATCTATAGCTTAGAAATATCCAAAGGAAACTTATAAACTGAGACACCCCTCCCCATGACCCTGACCATCCATGGCACCTCCAGGTGCCTCCCACTTCTAACCCAGCCCCTCATTTCTGCTGCACCGCCATCAACCCACTCACATCCTGCCTGCTTCCTCCCTCTACCTCGCCCCCCAGGTCTGGTTTGTCTTTCACATTTCACATCCTCCCCCCACACAGCTCCCCTGCTGCAGCTCTAGTCCAGGCCCTGAGCGTGTCCCATCTGGAGACAGCGAGCCTCCTAGCTGGTCTCCCACACCCAGTCTCACTTCCCACAAACACAGCCTCCTCGCAGCTGTCAGAAAAATCACACATGATGCTCATATTCCCTCCCCCCCTGCCCTGCCTAAAGCCATCCAATAGGAGCTCTTTGCCCTCAGGCTAAAGCCCAAGCTCCTAGGCCTGATCAGCCCAATCCACACCCAGAGGCCACGGGCTGGTGGGAAGGCTGCCAGCTTTACAGTGAGAGAAACCTGAATTTCTGAGACCAACTTGTTCAGTGCCTGACCCTGCGATTGCTGGCAGATGACTTCACCTCTGAACCTTGAGATTCCTCCATCACCTCCCACGGAAGGTGATCCCGCTGAGTCCTCTTCTTCCCATCAGTCCTCTTCTCCCACCACCTCTATTAATTCCAAGTAGATCCGTTTCCTCACGCCTTCTTCGTGTGTCCCACTTCCCACCTAGTCACACATCCGCCTCTCCTGATTCAAACTCTCAGTGACTAGCCTGTCCATAGGGAAGGCCAAACTCCTTTCACACTTGGAAATAATCCAGCCCCTGCCTACCTCAAACACACCTTGGCGCACAGGGCTGCAGAAACCTGCTCTCCCCACCGCCGGCCCCTTGGCATGTACACCTTCCTGCCCAATTCCTCACCCTTCATGCCTCAGTTTACATACTGCTGGCTCCAAGAAGCTCACAGGTGCAACACACACACCTAATCCAAGCCGCAGCACCCGTTCTTGTGAGCCCGGAGCCCACTGGACTTGTGCCGCCTCCTAAGGCTTGAGTACAAACATATTTGTCGGTCTTACCAAGGACAGGGCTCTGTGAGAGCTAGGCTCCCGCTATTGTACCTGGCACAGAGTAGAGACGGAGTGGGTATTTGTTGAAAGGGAGAAGCAGGAGGCAATGGTGAGCAAGTCCTTGGCCCGTGGAAACCCCCAGGCGTATGGGGGCACTTATTTGAATCAACACACTAATAGTTAAAGCATGGCCACAGGAAGCAAAGTCAACTCGCCAAGTCCCTGGAGGAAAGAGCTGACAAAGAAGGGAAAGGGAAACCGTGGGATGGCTCAATTCTGGGAAGCATGTAACTGATATTTGGAGGTCAGTTCCAGGGATAGGCAGGATGACCCAAATGTCTTTGAAGGTAGTCCCCAGGGGCAGAGTGTGAGTTGCCACAGAATGGAAACTAGCTCTAAGCAGGCTGGATCATGGGGACAGGAAAGGCTGTGTCAGCCCCATTTAACCAAGGCAGGCCCGTGAGGATGAAGCTGGCCTTTGCTTCCACCGCAAGCAAGCAAGACACATTGGGCTCAAAGACAGAGCTTCTGCTCTTTGCTCTGAACCACAGGAGGCAGCTGGCCTCCCAGCAGGCCACCAAGGCACCAAGAGGTCTAGTGAGGGCCGAGTCTTTGCTGCCAAGGCAAACACCTCCCACCGTTAATTCTGGGGTTGAGAAGAACTGTAGAGACTTTTCACATTCTCTGGAAGGAAAGAACAATGTGCTCTTTGGGCCATCTCTGGAAGAATGGGTTCCCTCCTGGAGCACCGCCCTTTGGAAGGATAGCTGATGAACTGGAGGTCATTCTGAGTGACAGGACACGCTGGGGACCGAAACAAGGCCAGGTCTAAAGGCAAAGTGAAAATACTCTCCTTAAGCTTCTGGAGCAGCAGGGGCAGGCCTGTTCTGGGTGGTCCCTTAGGCAGAAAGGGGATCTGAGGGGGACAGTCTGAGAGCATCACAGGACGGAGTAGCCTGTCCTCAGTACTTGTAAACCTCTCGTTCGAGGAGATGACAAGAAAAGCCAAACGACTACACCGGCAGACGCCACAATGGAACGTGCATCAGCAGCACAGAGAGAGGCTCCCTCAGAGCTCCTTTCCACTGAAACACCTTCTGAGGGGAACGATATTTTCCTCTGACAAAGTATTGAAAGCACATGAAACCCACTGCTGAACTTGGCCATGTCTACATGACAGGGAGCTCTGTGCCAGAGGAAATGAGAGCTCGGGCAGATGGAGCAGCAGCCTAGGGGTGGTACCCTCTCTTCACTATGAAAACTGGGCCCTGTTCAGGTGGTGGTGTTTTGAGTACTGATGCCTTTAATTGATGCCTTCAGGGCAGAGAAGAAAGCCTTGCCTTCTGGCACAGCTCTGAGGCCTGGATTCTGGCTTTACTACAGAGAAGGCGTCAAAGAGCACCAGGTAAGGCTTGGCCAGGGAGGAAAAGGGAATCTTCTGGCCTTTGGGAGAAGGGAATGATGCCCTCCCTAAACGCCCCCCAAAGTGCACCTGGCCACTCCCCAGACTGTGGTCATCTCTGAAGCACAAGCCTCTTAGGGCCTAAACTCTAACCCACACCACCCTGAAGATCGGGCAGCAGCCCCACTGCAGGGCCCATCCAGAAGAGGCCACAAACCAAAGGGCCCAGGGCTGTGGCAGAAAAAACAGTCTCCAGAAAGCGAATGTGGGTCACACAGCAGCCATGAAGTGGCTCTAAAATTCTCTGCCCAGGGCCCAGAAGCCAGTGCCGCTCCATGAAGCCACAGCACCCCTTTGACAGCAAGACCCACACCCCATCCTTCCCCAGCAGCAATCCTTCCCCTAGACCAGCCAGAACAGCCAAGCACGGACAAAGCAGTTGATCACAAGATATATTGGGGAGAGAGGGATGGGAGCACCTTTAGGAGTGCCCCCTTCGGGCAGCTGCCTGGCAGTTAGCTGGGAGCGCAGGAGGAGCTTAAGAGTTCACGGGGCTCCTCCAGCAAAGATGAGCTCCAGGGCCGCCTGGATGTCCCCACCGGTGGCCTGCAGGGCCCGCAGGCTCAGCTCATCATCCTGGATGCCCATGTCACGCAGCTGCTGCAGCTGGGGCTGCCACTGGCTCTGCAGAAAGACCAGACCAGGCAGACACTGTTAGCGGGGACCCAACAGGGACTCACTTCTGTCTGTCCTTTCAGGGGTGAGGAGGGTGAGTTTCTATCGCAGAGTTGTGAAAACATCCACAGAACAAGGGGTCTCTGGAAAGGCGCAGAACTTGAGAGTTCAGAGAGCTAACGAAACAGTTTCCAATAAAAAAAAAAAAGGGAAAATTTTAACAGAAAAATCAAAGAGAAAGCACATACTACTAAATTTCAGAAGATTAAATTCCTTCCTTTCTGCATCTGTATGGGTAGACGCACGCACATACAAATGGAGGGGGAACAAATATGCAAATCAGTGCTGGAAATGACCATAAATATATGGGAGTCTTACTCTCAACCACCCCACCCCTGCTATAGAGAAGTTATTTTATTTTCTTGAGGAATATACGCATGTATACATTCCTTAGATTAACAGATATTAACTTTCTTTAACTCCTGTTCTAGATCCACTCCCCCCTCCCCTTTTTCTTTTAACAAAAGTTAGCATACCAGGCCCTCCCTGATGGGGCAAGAGGTTAAAACGCAGCACTATGAAGCCGGCAGCAGCCACTGCACCACAAGTTTGACCCTCAGCCAGGGAGCTGACCCACATGGTGCGGCTGACCTTTCCTGTCTCACCTGCTGCTCCCCTCAGCAGTGTACTTCATCAATTTACCTGTTCTGCTCCCCACTCGGTCTCTGGTGAATCCTCTCACCACCCCTGCACCTCTGCCGTACCACAGTTTCATATGCAAATAAATAAATCTTTAAAAAAAAAATCAGCATACCCTGGAGACCTCTCTATGCTCAGTAAGTGTGTAGTATTCCAACTTGGAAGTTCTGAAATGGACCATAACTGGACACTTCTAATCTCTTGCCATGACAAAAAACACTGTACTTCAGAGATGTCATTTTCTACAAGCGCACAACATCTCTAGAATAAATTCTGAGAAATGGGACTGCAAGGAATTATACACTGTAAGAGTCACCAAACTTCGTTTTCTTGAAATAGTCCGTTCATATCATTTTCCTGTTTTTCTCTGGGATTGTTGCTCCTAAGTTCTTAGAAGTTCTAGATATCAGGGAGATGTTGGCCTCTGATGGCTATTACAGGTTCTTCTGAACCCAGTTTGCTGTTGTTAGCTTCAGATTTTGCCTGTTATGTTTGTTTATTTGGCTATTTGGTTGGTTTGCTATCTAGAAATTGTCACTTCTATGAACTCAAAATTTATTATTCTTTATTTAATGGCTCTTAGATACTGACTTTCAAGGCTATCTGTACTATAAGGGTTTAAAGAAATTCCCCATGTTTTCTTCTAGTACTTTCATCATTTCATTAGCATCTCTCTCTCATAAAGGAAGACATGCACAATGTAGGAAAAACGCTGTGTTCACACATGGGTAGGAGAAAGCAGTGAGAAGAAATGCAAATTCAGAGAGGCAGGCAGGCAAAAGTGAGGAGGTAAAGAGTTTTGGGTTTTTCGTTGTAGATTGATTTTGTAGAAGAACTGGGTACAAGCCGGAGGGGGAGGGTGGGGAGAGAGGATTCACCAGAGACAGAGTGGGGAGCAGAACAGGCAGATCTATTGAAAAACATTGCTGAGGAGAGCAGCAGGTAAGACAGGAGAGGTCTGCTGCGCCACATAGGTTAGCTCCCTGGCTGGGGTTCACTCAGGCCACGGCAGTGACAGCATGGAGACTTAACCCCTAGACCACCAGGGAAGCCCAGGTTGAGGGCTTTTAAGAAACCACACAAAGCACCCAAGATTCATGTCACAGCCAGGTAGAACCAGCAAAACCTGCTGGGCTGGAGAGCAGAGGGAACAAGCATCAAGCTGGGGAAGATGAAGGAATGGAAAGAGAAGCTGTGCATTGTGTCCTGTTCCCCTCACTGGCTCCAGGGCCACTCGGGAGAGAGCACATCATGAGCTCGAATATGAGCTTGAAGCCTGTGTCCACCACTGCTGGCTTTATGACCCTGGCCAAGTGCCCGGAATGGTCCCCTCTCGTCCCCCAGACCCACTGTAGGTAAAGGACAGAGTGGAGTAACAGCTGGTGTATGGTGACAGCAGGAGGCACTGAGCCCTTGGGTCTTGACTCAGCTGCCAGGGTGACCTTTCCACAAAGCAAAGTGGATGGTGAGCTCCTGCCTAAACCTGCCCTGGCTCCCTGGGGACTGGCAAGTCAGGTCTAACCTCGTGACCCCAGGCTCCAGGTCCTCAGGCTCCCGCTCCCCTTTTCTCTAATGAATCTCAGGACCTGCTACACACTGCATTTTGGCCTTGCTGTCTTGAGTATGTTACATGAACTCCACTCATTTTGTAAATAGAGAGCAGTCCCCATGTGGATACCCCTTAAACAGCCCATTCCCCACCTGGCTAACCTCTAGCTAACTTTGGGGTGTTTTTTTTTTTTTAAGATTGATTTTTACTTATATATGCATACAAGAACTAGGATGCAGGCCAGAGGTGCAAGGGGTGAGAGGATTCACCAGAGGTAGAGTGGGGAGCAGAACAGGCCGACTGACGAAGTACACTGCTGAGGGGAGCAGCAGGCGGGGCAGGAGAGGTCTGCCGGGCCATGTGGGTCAGCTTCCTGGCTAGTGAGCCAACTCATGCTACAGGGCCTGGCAACAGCTTGACAGTGCTGAGACTGAACCGCCTGTACCACCAGGGAGGCCCTCTAGCTGACTCTGACTATCAGTTTAAATAGCCCTGCCGCAGGAAAGTTTTGTCTGACCTAGGCCCTTACCCCAAGCCCTGCTGCTCTCCCTGGAGCAGTAACTGCCCAGTGCCCTTCCACAGCAGGATACAAATGGACTCATCCTTGCCCAACAGCCAGAACCAGGCCCGGCTATGCCTGTTCAGAGCTCTTGGGTAACTAAATGACTCCTGATTAAATTATCATATGCACCCAAGCCAGCCAGGTGGTCAGTGCCATCTGGCATGGCCCCTGGTGCAGGAGTAAAAGCCACAGGGACAGCTGCCCTTGGTGGGAACATCCTCTCATGTTAAGGGCTCCTCAAGTGCAGCATGCCAAGTGGGAAGGCCCACCAGAGAGCAGACAAAGCACAGGAGAGTGGAAGACTAACCTGAAGGCTGGGCTGCCCCGAGGCCTGCAAGGCGTGCTGTAGGGCTTGGCTGAAGAGGTCATTGGTGATGGGTGTCCCTGACTGGACACTGGAGGACAAGGGTGAGGTCCCTGAGGAATGACCCTAGAGATAAACCAATGGTCAGTGCCACCCTCAAAGTCATCTGTTTCTCCCAGACTGCTCCCATTGCTATTACATCGTGTCTTGGGATGTCCAACTACTGCCTCCCAACAAGGGGCTTGCATGAGATAATCATTCAGAAGAACTGAAAAACTCTTTATGTAGGGAAGATTCCATTCTCCTTCATTCCAGGGACAGGGAATTGAGTGGGGTCCCGACCCAGCTCAGGACCCCAGCGCTAAGAGATGGCCTTGGAAGCTGGACTGGCCATCCTCAGGAATATTAGCCCTGTAATGTCTGGTCACTTTCAGAGGTGAGGATACATTTGGCGAGGGGAGGTTCGGAACTCCCAAGAGGTCACTGGGACTGCGCCAGACTCCAGGCTCTGACCCCAGAGGCAAGAAAGGAAATGTCAGAGCTGTAGTGGGACACCAGCCAAGGCTCCGAGCAGAGTTCAGCTCCACTCACATCAGCAAAGGTACACCATTACACCGCTGGGGAGCTCCTTCCCTGGGGCCCAGTCTTGATCTTCAGGACCCAATCTTCCAGCCCTCACGCCATACCTGGGTGCCCGGAGTCGGTGTGTGAGAGCTGCTCTCCGGAGTGCTGGCCAGGGCCAGAGCGGTGGCCAGCTCGCTCTGGGTGATGGGTCGGGGTCCGGCAGCGCCACTGTACCCCAGGGAAGCTGGGCGGGAGCTAGGAGTGCTGCTGGACGGTGTGGATCTGGCACTCTGGGGAAGGGAGGTGCTCAGAATCAGGGAGGGGGCACTGTGAGGTTCTCAAATGAGCTCTACCCCTGTGATAGGAACAGTTCTGGGGAGGCTTCCCAAGCGAGACCTAGCCACCAAAAGGCCGATGCCCACCTCCCAGCCTGGAGCTACCACACATCTCCCCCAAAGGGCAGGCAGCCAGGCCGCTTACAGGGTGAAAGTCGTCCTCGTCATCAGAGAGCCCTTCAAACAGGAAGCCACCTGGAGGAGGAGAACAGATTTCAGGAAGAACAGAAAGGCACAGGCGGAGCTCCAGAATCTTAGCTCAAATACTCTCCAAATTCATACTTTCCTCTCTCCCCTTGGAAAATTACAGGACAGATGCACTCACTGACTCAAACTGAGAGTTCCCAAGGAACACCCTCTGCCAGCACTATACATAGCTGCTGAGTAAAGCAAATCCCTGGGCCTCTGCCCAACCCTGAGGGGCCTACACTGACACTCTTGGGGCTCACCTGGCATGTCCCGAGACGAGCTGGAGGGCATGCTCCGGGAAGAGGAGTCAGCCCCTGGCAGGGGGGTGCTCCCTGCCACCGAGTGTAAGACTAGAACAATGGCATTGACCAGAGCTGGGTGAGCGGGCACCAACCTGCGACAGAAATAGGAAGAAACCCAGGTGACTAAGAGGTCAGAGAGCCTCTGCTACAACAGGAGTTGTGGGGGGCCCTTCACAACCATCCAGGGGTCTGTGGTGGCCCTGAAAGACATCTCCAGCACTTGCCTCCGGTGGGCTGTGTCTGCTCTGCTCTGCCCTCCAGCAACAGCAGCGCGGCCTTCAGATCTGGCCTCCACTGCAAAAACCTGACCTTCCCCTCTTCAAGGCATGATGGGACATGTACAGTCTGGGAGCCTCAGGGTTCAGTTGCTGGTCTCCACTCCATCACTGCTTTCCTGGACAATCTTTGACAGGGCCCTCTCTTCCCAGGGTGGGGCTGCTTTCTGAGCTTGCAAAATAAGGGGACATAATTTCTACTCTCCCTAGCTCTAAAATTGGAAGATTTATGTATCTGCTTAACAAGCTAAAAATCCCCCAAAGGTTCTCTACTATGTACTGCAAAGAGCTAAACTGAGCGCAGCCCCCAAAGCCACCCCCTCAGAGCCCTGCTCCATCTGAACATCTCCACGTGCCCCTGCCCTGGGTGCTACCGCTCCCCTGCTGTTTCTCACCTCCTAATATATTTAGAAGGGAGAGTTGGGGACACTGGGGGATGCGCTCCAAGAGCAGAATCCGGGGCAACAATGAAGTTTCCAACCCAACCAAATGAGGGGAGACGGGGTACCCTATAAGGTGGCTATACTTACGTATCCAGCATGCTGGGATCAGCAAAGACAGAAAAAAGATCCTTGTCCTGGAGAACCCCTGGAGGAGAAGAACGGGGCTCACCTGAGAGACCAGAAATCTAGACAGACTCAGGAGGGCTGGAGCTGCGCGCTATAGATCCAAAAGGGTTTCAGCCTCAGAACCACTAGCCCATTGAGGACACAGCACTAATGAGCACCAGAGGAAACCAAGTGCCACAGAGCACAGCCCAAGGGCAGGCCATCTCTGCCCCTGCCACCACCTCCACCTGCTCCTAAGCCACACACTGAATACTAACCCACCAGCCTTTCCCCACGTCTCTGGGTTCTTCCCTTATTCTGCAAGGTGTGCAGCAGTCTTCCCTGAGGGCCGTGGATTGGGCTAACCATGCCCTGACCCAGCACCTCACACTCTCATCTTTGAGGCTAGCCTGTGCTTTCTCTGCAACACTGACAGTTCTTGGTGGGCCAAGTATATGGCATGGATCTTGGTTCCCGCCCTCCCCAAACAAGACCAGTGATGCTGAAAAGATGTCAACATCTGTTTAGGATCATTACCTTCTCCTCGTTACTCCTTCTCCCATTCCTTCAAGTTTAGTCCTGCACTTACCAAGAGCAATAGGGTCACTGCTGAGGCCTGGGGTGGCCACAATGATCTGATCCAGAGACTCCTTATTGCTGAGCATCTTGAAGACCTGCATGAGAATGGGGGGGAAGGGGTGCAGGCTGAGCACTCCAGCTAGCTCAGTGAACCAGCAGATACCCATCCTCTGTGGAAGTACTTCCCCCCTCTAAGTGCCTGCTCATATACCACCACCATGGAACAGCCACAGGAAATAGATGAACCTCTTTCTTCCCTGAGATCATGGCTTACTGGAGTGGAAACAAACAATAGAAAAAAGAAAAACTACAGTAAACCTTCAGTCTCTGGTTCTCTCCTCCATCTATAGCTCTAATGCTTCCAAAATAAAAGCTCCCATTACAAGCCCAATAGCAAAGGTTTCTCGAGGTCCTGGAAAGAGCCTTTGATCACCACACGATGATCACCTCCCATTCATATGTACTGGGTAATTCGCAGGATGTATTCGTTTTGCTTCCACAGAAAGATATCAGCACATTCTCCAGGAAGTGTGGAAATCTAGGTAAGGAGCATTGCGCAGGCAGTTCAGCCAAAGCCAAAGGATGCAACCCAGCAGAAACAGTATGTGGATCCTTCAGCTGCTACTTTTTCATTCCACGGAACCACTAGTGTGTCTTGTCATTCCAGGGAATCAACAATACCTGGCTAAGAGAGCCTCTTTTGGGAAAGACAGGGCTCTGGTAAGACCCACAGATGTGGCAAAAGCTCACCCAAGGAACTCTTGGTAGCCATGGCAACAGGCTTCAGGCTCCCACTCTCCCTGACTTGCCGGCATTCACACCCTCTCCAGCACCCGACCTGACACACTCACCGCCTCCCTGTAGGAGGAGCTGCTGTGCAGGGCAGTGTGCAGCACCCGGAACTCCCTCAGAGCAGCCACTTTGTCCACAGGCTCTGGGAACAAAACACACAAGATACCCTACAGTCCCGCCGGCCGGCCCCTATTGTGGGTACGGTCACCCCATTTTAACAAGGGTCCAGGAACAGCCTGGTCTGGATGTTCCCTGTCCTCATCACCCCACTAAGAATTGAAGTACGCATTTCTGAGAAACCATTTATGCCACAGATAAGAAAATTGCACTCTCTTTTAGGCATCTTCAGAAGATAAACAAATTCAGACTCCAGCAGAGGTGAATCTCACCACTTGAAAGACACTGATCAATACCCCACTGCAGGAGTTCTGCCTTCTTACACTTGAAAGGAGGACAGTATAATCAACTCCAGAGACTTATGCAGCGATTTAAAGTAAGTTCTGCAAGCCACCTGAACACTGGGGCGCAATGGCGACACAGTATGTTGAGAAAGAAAAGGAGCACAAGCTGCGTGCACCTTCTCGAGTAGAGCGCTGTGGACCTGTGGCACGGCGCCTGGGTTCGAGGCTAGAAGGATGAGGAAAGGACAGCACTTCGAAGGAGGACAGAATGGGGTAGTCATTTCCTCTTTGATGTTTTCTTTCCAGCTTTTGTCATTTAGAATAGACATATATTTTTAAATACAAAAAGGACCAAGACAACGCTTACTTCAGGCTCTTAAACTTTCACCATGTTCCTCAAGTGTGGGGGGTTTTTTTGTTTGTTTTTTATCTTTGGACAGTATGATTCATATAGTCAGGAAAGTTTAGTAGTTTTATTTTGTTGCTTTACTATTTAGGACATTAGCCCATTTCATAGGTGAAGACATTTGGGTAACAGGAGAGGAAGTAGTTAAAAGTTCACCTTGGGTCACACTTTTAAGAGTGTAAAACTGTACCTTTGATAGCTACTGGGGACCAACTATCCCCAAGCTAGATGAACCCTCAGGGTTTAGTGTGACTACCACATCCCCACCTATACATCTAACATGAGGGTCGTATTTTTTGAAACACATTCATTTTCAAGAGATGACCTATTTTATTTATCCAACAAACACGTGTAAGCGTTTATTTCATGCTTCCTTTAGGTCAAGACACAAGACTTGATGACAAAGAAAGTCCTTGTCATCAAAGAATTCTTGGGTCATTAAGAGAAATAAAACTAGATCAAGCACCCAAGTCACAATCACAGGGCATCACGCTGAGGAGCCAGGCAAGGGTGCTAGGAACACAGGGGCAGAAAGGCACTCTGGGAGGCAGGGCTGGGCCGCACTGCTGTCACCCAAGGAAACCACTCGAGGCAGGTGCCGCAGATGTGAACTGGGGAAAGAAGGCATTCCAGGGAAATCACAGAAGAATCAAATGCTTGGAGGGAATAGCACTCGCTTCTTTTGGCTGGAATTCGCCATACTCATCCCTAATCAAAGAGCAGGCAAAGTGGGTCCAAAAGGCATTTGTAACCCACCATGGAGAACACCAAAGGGATCCAGGTGGAAAGGAAAGACAAACAGGTCCTCTTAGAGCCTCTAATCCAATGGGAGATTAAGCAATGTGCTTCCTTTCAGAAGAGCACTCAGGATAAAATATTTTAAATGCTGTCACAAAAACAGTCTCTTTTCAGATGTAAAAGTTTGCTTTCACCTTTCAATAAAAAGTTCATTTGTTTAAAAAATAAATTTCCAGGCAGGAGGAGGAGGAAAAGATCTCTTAATATATTAAGTCGCTAAGTAGTTAGGAGTTACAGTTGTTGGGCCCTCCCTGGTGCACAACGGGTTAAAGCACAGCACTGTGAAGCTAGCAGCAGCTGTACTGGCACTAGTTCATCCCCAACACGAGTTCAATCCCCATCTAGAGAGCTGACCCACATGGCGCGGCAGACCTCTCCTGGCCCAACTGCTGCTCCCCTCAGCAGTGTATTTCATAGATCTGCCTATTCTGCTCCCCACTCTGTCTCTGATGAATCCTCTCACCCCCGGCACCTCTGGCCTGTACCCCAGTTCTTGTGCGCATAAATAAGTAAACTTTTAAAAACGAAAAAAGTTATGGCTGTCACTGTAACACCTCTGAATTAATGTCACCCTGTGGAGTGTGGGAAGCAGTGGAAAAAACGGGCTCCTGAGCCAGGAAAGCCATCCCTGCTCTTGCCTTCATTTTCTAAGTAGTGACCTTCCTTTTCTAAATTTCTTTCCTTTACCTATTAAATGCTAATACCTCTGAGGGCCACAGTCAAGATTAAATGAGATATCAAAGAGAAACAATCTGGCTCTGGAGGCAACAAATGTTCCTTTCCTTCTGTTAATGCCCTCCAGCCAAAGACCAGAGAGATGTGGTTGAACAAGTTCAGAAAGGAGAGAGCAGGCCCTCAGTGCTCACTTCTCAGTAAGTGTATGTCAGAGAGGACATACAGGATTGGGTTTGGCCTGCATAGTTTGGGAGATGTTTTAGGAAGCAGGATTTTGTTCTGGATTAGATGCCATCAGGAAGTCAGGGTGATTTTATAATTGGGCATCTTAGTAATTCTTATCTAGAAGGCAAAGAGAAAGCTCTTTGGTAAAGAAGCAGTTTTCACTCATAGGGTCAGGTTTGAGGGCTATTTGGCAAAGGACATGACTTGAACATATTCAGGTTTTTGTCTCTGTTCAGATGAGAGGGATCTTGTTTTGGTCTCCATCCATTATAGTCTTACAATGAGCGGCCTGTAGATGTTGGTGATACTGAAATCACTTGATATATGGGAGGACATCCATTATGTTTAGAAGTGATAATCGGTGATAACAATCACCAACATTATAAAAATGTGTCAAACAGCCGTTTAACAAAGCTAATTCTCCTTGTACACTTGCACAGTTTAGCTTTCTTTCTTTTTTTTTTTTTTAAAGATTTATTTATGGTCCTCCCTGGTGACACAGTGGGTTAAAACACAGCACTAAGAGGCTAAAGCCACTTCAGCATGAGTTCGATCCCCGCCTGCCCTGGAGGTGACCCACATGGCATGGCAGACCTCTCCTGACCCACCCAC